CCTCATCCAATCAGAGAACATTTTGTATTCATTGACAAAATTCAAAACAATCTCTGAATAGCAGCCGTGCCAGTGGCTGTCCTCCTGCGTTTAAAATGCAGCAGGACAGGCACTCATCATGAGATGCAGAAGCTAGTAAAGATCACTGTAGTAGTGGTGTCTGCTACATTGATTTCCATTTTCTAGAGGGATCCCACAGGTATGGTATATACATAGATACATTGGAAAATAATATACTTGGAAAAAGAGAAGGTGGATATTAGGACTAATGTGCGATATAGAAATTAATGGAAAAGAGAGTAGCGGTGTTGCCCATACCAGTCAATTGTGTTTGAACTATTAACGTTCTAGTGTCCTCCCCGGCAGTTGTTTAGTGTCCAAGGGCATCATGAGCCCATTTTTCTTTAACTTTTTTACCACTTCACTACTTACCACTACTTTGATATAATGGAAATGTATGAATGTAATATAAAATATCTGCGTTCTCTATTTTCCTTTTATCTGTGTTGAGAACCAGCTGACTATCTGCATACTTATTTACGCAGTCTGTTGTGTATGGACTCATGAGACTTTGCATACTTTTCTTTCCTGTGACAAGATTTCCATGTTTTCATTTCCTGCTTGCTTTGGTTGTCAGTGGACACAATGATGCATGTTTTTTATGTTCTATTACAATGGCATAATTCACATTGCAACCTATTCCAACCCACAAATCTAAAACATCGGGAAGTGGTAATGCACCAGAATCCTCATAGGAAGCATGTAAATGTCAACGGAGACTCATCAGTCACCAAATGATTAACTTTTTTTTTTTTTTTTTTAACCAACGTAGAAAAGTAGAATAATGTTACAAATAGGTTTTGGTTTCGTACAATTGATTTTAAATTACTAGGAGCTTCTTTTTTAAAATGCCCATATTTTTTTGTTCTCTTCCCAGTTTACATGCACTTTGCCTATGTTTTTTTTTTTTTTTGCTCGTCCATTGAAGGCAATATTCATCTTTTGAAAAATGGAGGGACGGAACTGCAGGCTACCTTTTGCTAAACCCACAACTGAAGAGACTAAGCTGTACCAATAAAATAGTAAAGATTTTGCTTTGCTGGTTCTGTGTGGTTTTTTTTTACCAAACCATGGGCAAACGACAACAGTGAAAACTGGCCCTAAAAGACTGTAGTTTGTAAAATAATTTTATTAGGCATCCACAATAAAGTATTCATTAACTAAAGAAGTGTGGGGGCAGCTAGTGGGGGTCTCTCCTTCAAAAATAATTACCTGGCTGCCTTGCTAATACTCTGACTTTAGTGCTTTCTAAAGTCTTTGAGTTACAGACCCAAAAGATGTATGTTGAAAATGAGTGGCAGAAATTTCAATGTATTGAAGCCAAACATAGCTAGGCAACTAACATTTTCAATAGAATGCCAACAATGGCATGACAGAGCCGAAACTACATCAAACCAGGTTCTATCTTTACCCTGTTCAGCTAAAGTGGTTGTAAACCCTTACATATACCTGGTGAAGTGGCTTGGCCTCAGGTTATACAAAGAGATGAAACAAATTCTCCTCTATAAGTTGTACCTGTCTGTCTATAGCCATCTGTATCATATAGCCGTTAAAAGTACAGAATTTACACAGGATATCTCAGCTCTGAATAGCAGGGGGTGGGGAGATGAAGTTACACTCTGCAGGGCTCAGTGAGGAGAGCTGATTGGAGGGAAGAGATATCCCCTCCTTCACACGGCTCACAGAAACAAAGCTGAGGCTTTCAGTCACAGGCTGTGCCTTCCTTTGTCATCATTTTTCTCTTGGTATCAGGAAAACTCCTCAGAAGTAACTCATGCTTAAAGCAGAGGGATGAGGCAGTGGAGAGAAATGACCCTTAGTGCTCTGGATTGAGACAAGTACACAGCACAGAGGGATATGCTTTGTTCATATTTCACGTCTGAGGTTTAAAACCATTTCAGGCTTTGAAAATGGAAGATAGAAGCTGATTGGTTGCCATGCATTGCTGCTCCAGATTATGTCTGCTTCAGTTTTGACAAACTCCCCTCATTGTCTTTAGTGGTCCAACATCAAACTCAAAAGCCTTTGTTCCTTACAATTCTTACTCGTGATTTCAAAGTGATACAGATTAAAACTTTTCAGTTGAGTACTGCTTGATACAGCAAATGTGTATATATACCAAATCCTTTTTTTCCAGTTTTCAATGAGGGTTAGGACTCCTGTCAAGTTTTTTTTTGTTTTTTTTACTCTCTTCCCTGTTGGGGAGATTCACCCTTTCCATTTGTCCTGGTTACCATTGTCAGTAAGACACAAAGTGAGGGGAGATCCAAAATGTTACCTTTCTGGTGTTGAGGAGAAATCTTCCAATCTAGGCCCCTGTTCTGGTGGGGTTTTACCTCACTTTAGGGAGATTTCCTCTCACCTGCTGCTGTGTCTCCAGGACAGTAAGTGAAAGAGAAACTGTTCCCAACAGGGCATAGATGGACAAACTCACAGGGGTTTTAACTCCTCCAAAACTAAACTAAATGTAAAAAATGGCTTTACAGTGAAGGAAATAAGTATTTGTTCCCCTGCTGATTTTGAATATTTGTCCACTCACAATGAAATGATCAGTCTAAAAATCAAATGGTAGGTGTATTGTAACACTGAGAGACTGAATAGCAACACAAAATTCAAAAGAAATTCATGTCTAACAAATTATGCACTGATTTGGATGTTAATGAGGGAAATAAGTATTTGATCCCCTTCACAAAACATGACTTAGTACTTGGTGGCAAATCCCTTGTTGGCAATCACAGAGGTCAGACGTTTCCTGTAGTTGGCCACCAGGTTTGCACACATCTCAGGAGGGATTTTGGCCCACTCCTCTTGGCAGATCCTCTCCAAGTCATTAAGGTTTGGTGGCTGTTGTTTGGCAACTTGAACTTTCAGCTCCCTCCACAGATTTTCAATCAGATAAGGTCTGGAGACTGGCTAGGCCACTCCAGGACCTTAATGTGCTTCTTCTTGAGCCACTCCTTTGTTGCTTTGGCCATGTGTTTTAGGTCATTATCATGCTGAAACACCCATCCACAACCCATTTTCAATGCCCTGGCTGAGGGAAGAAGGTTCTCGCCCAAGATTTGACGGTACATTGCCCAGTCCATCGTCCCTTTGATGCAGTGCAGTTGTCCTGTTCCCTTCACAGAAAAACACCCCCTCTCATCTCATCTCATCTGACCACACCACTTTCAACCAGTCCTCCTCTGCATCATTCAGATGTTCAGTGGCAAACTGCAGACGGGCCTGGACATGTGCTTTCTTGAGCAGAGTGACCTTGCGGGCACTGCAGGATTTCAATGCTTGTCGGCGCAGTGTGTTACCGATTTGTTTTTTTAGCGACTGTGGTCCCAGCTGCCTGGAGATCATTGACAAGATCCTCATGCGTAGTTCTGGGATGATTTCTCACTTTTCTCATGATCATTGACACTCCACGAGGTGAGATCTTGCATAGTGCACCAGGCCTAGGGAGACTGACAGTTGTTTTGTGTTTCTTCCATTTGCGAATGATTGCACCAACTGTTGTCACCTTCTCACCAAGCTGCTTGGCGATAGTTTTGTAGCCCAGTGCAGCTTTGTGTAGGTCTACAGTCTTGTCCCTGACATCCTTGGACGGCTCTTTGGTCTTTGCCATGGTGTAGAGTTTGGAATCTGATTGTTTGATTGCTCCTGTGGACAAGTGTCTTTTATACAGGTAACAAAATGAGATTAGCAGCACTTCCTTTAAGAGACTGCTTCTAATCTCAGCTTGTTACCTGTATGAAAGACACCTGGTAGCCAGAAATCCTGCTGAATGATAGGGGATCAAATACTTATTTCCCTCATGAACATGCAAATCAGTGCATAATTTGTTAAACATGCATTTCTTTTGAATTTTTTGTTGCTATTCTGTCTCTGTGTTACAATACACCTACCATTCGATTTTTAGACTGATCATTTCTTTGTGAGTGGGCAAAAATTCTAAATCATCAGGGGATTAAATACCTATTTCCTTCACTGTATATGCACTTTAAAAGAAAGCATTAGTATTCTAAAATTCCAAGTTTACACTGTGCACCTTTTCCTTTATTTTAATGTGATTTGCAATTTTTCCTCCTGCTGAGAAAAAAAATTCTGTGTTGATAGGGAAAGGGTCATTATGTGTGTAGCTAAACAGGTGTCTAAAACCTAAAGAATTGCGATATCGTTGCAGCTGAAAAAAAAAATTCTTCCACACACCATGCATTCTAAAACAAAGGTCATCTGCATTTATATATGAACACAGCATTTAGTATACACTCACTTTATTATGACACTTTCTTAGATACACCTTGCTAGTACCAGGTTGATCCCCTCTTTGCCTTCAGAATTGCCTTAATTCTTCATGGCATAGAATCAACAAGGTGTTGGAAACATTCCTCGGAGATTTTGATCCATATTGACATGATAGCATGTCTTTCTATAATCTCAAACTAGTCTGCCCATTCTCCTCTGACCTCTGACATCAACAGGACATTTTTGTCCACACAGCTGCTGCTCACTGGCTATTTTCTCTTTTTCAGACCATCCTCTGTAAACCCTAAAGATGGTTGTGGGTGAAAATCCCAGTAGATCAGTAGTTTTTTAAATACTCAGACCAGCCCATCTGGCACCAACAACCATGCCATGTTCAAAGTCACTTAAATCCCCTTTCTTTTCCATTGCTCGGTTTGAACTTCAGCAAGTTGTCTTCACGTCTACATGCCTAAATGGATTGAGTTCCTGCCATGCGATTGGCTGCCGAGCAATTGAACAGGTGTACCTAATTTTTAATTTTAATATGCTAAATGAAATAAGTGGATTGTAGCTTTTTTAACTAACCATATACTGATTCTGTTTCCCTTTTTAGGTATAAGGTGAGCTTCAGGCCAAGGTACGTAACATCCTATAAAGTGGTTACAGAGTTGGAGTGGAGGTGTTGTCCAGGTTTTAAGGGTCAAGACTGTAATGATGGACCTGCAGACAAGGTAAAACTGACTCCTATACAGACACCTCGACCAGGTGGCGGAAAGAAGGAAACAGGTGAGATCATTTTTTCTTTTTACTGCAATTGTCTAACGATATTTAAAGGAAACTGTCAGGACAGCACCATTGATGACCAAGATGCCCACAGAAATCTTTATTCCCTGCTCAGGTAATTGGCTGACTACACATATTAGCTATTTCCTGCAATAAAATGAACATCATTCATTACTAAATGAATGTTGATGATGCAGCATTTCTTATTACAACACTGACAGTTTCTCACGTGATGTAATAAAGGTTAATCCTCCCTTTGTTGTACGCTTTGAGGCATACATCAATTTTTTCACAATTGATAAAATGTCTGCTAAATTCTTACTATGTATGTAGTTCCCCAGGATATTTTTTTTTCCCTCAACAAGATAAACATTAAAACAAGATATACATACTTCATGTGGGATTACAGCTTTCTCCCACCCTCTCTGAAACCCCTTCAGATAGTTTATTCTAAAAAAAAAACAAAATAATGATAATTATAAAAACCCTATAAATACATTTTTAACTGCAGTCTTCAGGCTGGTCTGGTCATGTCACAAGTATTTGACTGTCTTCCTTGGTAGAGGTGGGCTGTCCTTTCTCCTAGACTGAGTAGCATTCAATTTATAACTTAGGAGCACCACTCCGTTCAAGAATACTGTAAGCCCCACATGTGTGGTGATTCCCCATCTCCTCTTCCCCTATACTGGATTCAAAGGAAGTGGGTTTAATTATGCCAGCCATCATCTAAATCAAAAGTTAAATAAGTTCACCTTTCATAACATGTTACGTTACACCCATATTCATGGTGTAACATGTTATAATTAGACCAGCCCCCGCTTTGACAGCGGGAAAAAAAAAACAACGCCATGCTGCATCACTCACTTAGTTTTCTGTGAATGAGAAACTACAAGTCCTGACAGTCTTATCAGCTGTTGGTATATAGTTTTCAATGAACTACCATGAGGAACACCATGGTAGTTCATTGATTCTTCCTGTTAGTATATCTGCTTGCCTGTATGGACAAGCAAATATGTTGACAGGTTTGCAGGAGACCTGCATGGCACCAGCAATCTGCTGATCGCTGGTGTAATGCTTTACAGTCTCCTGCAACAAAAAATAATAAATGTACATTTATTTTACCTGCAAAAAAGTGCAATTATTATTTTTTTAGCAAAAGGTGAACATATTTAAGCAGCACTGGAACCCAAACCATTAAGTCCATAGGGGACAGCGCTGGGGATAATGTGGGTATTTTTGTGAAAATGGGGATCACTTTGATTTTTTTTTTTTTTACTTAAGTAAAAAAAAAAAAAGTACATAAGTAAATGCAAGGCAATTTAATTAAAAACAACTTGGTTTTAAAATAATTCATGTGTTAGTAACACTGGTAGACTAAGTTACAAACTGTGGAAGCACAAAACTGTTGTCTCTGTTGTAATGCACAATCACTGCTTGGTTGATGTATACAAGAAAATCTTTTTAATAGGCTAAAATTTATAAAACAAAATGTATTGAGAATCGGTAAAATAAAGTCTTAAATGTTATAAATTCTGCAAAGCAGAATGTGGTAAAATGTGCTCCAGTTACTAGTCCTGCATTTTATCAAAACTTTTCAAGGGACCCACCTATTCGATACATCTGGCTCATTGTGGAAAGTTCCATGACAGCAAATAGCTTTCAATTACCGCACATGAGATGGATCACATATTCTTGTGTGACTTGTCAGAGGGACCTGCCAAGCTTACTGATAGCACACTATATAATCATAATAAATGGGCAGATAATCCCTATTACAAATTATTTTTCCTTTGTCAGGAAAAAATGAAGCATGACAGAATCCATGGAATGGTGAAAAAATATGAGTAGGAAGGATTTTTAACACAAAAAGGATACATATATTTTGCACAGTGCAAAAACTATTTCACATAACAAAATGATTTTATCGTGTACATTATTTGTTGTGTTTCCTGTGTAAATACTTGTGCATTTAATTATTGCATAGCTGTGTTTTCTACGGTGCCCTCTCTTTTTGCACCTTATCTTAAAATTGTGAGGTTATAATTCCTTCCAAACGTTTTGAAGGGGCTAAGCAAGAAGGGACTAGTATTAATTAGACTTGTCTACCTGAACCCTTTTTTACCTAAAATGTATAAGGACTCCTCCCTGAAGTGACTTTTATTTTTTGCTCACGCACACTTAAGACTTATGTGATATATGAAAGAAAGGAATGAGATCTCCTCTTGATTCAAAAATGTTTTACTTAAAAAATCCATGTGTATGCATACAAAAAGAATAAAGCCAAGCAACTGTACAGTTTCAAGCAATACCATACTCTTCCTCAAGCTGTGTGCAACCCACCATTGATCAGAGCCATTCAAGTAGACACAAGGGAAACCACTCCTCATGAGTATTCTGCATCACTAATTACACAAACCCAACATTACAAATGTATTAATAAAAAAACTGTGTGTTTTTGAAATATGACAGATTATAGTTAGGCTTTCCTGGACTTTCAAAACAAAATAAAGATTTACTGTTGGTACAGCATCTCAGGGTTCCTCTATGTTCAGCAGGTTTGTTACCTTTTTACCAACAATATGACACTTTTTATGAAAATGCAGCATTTTTGTTTGCCGTTTCATACTTTATAACTGTGGTGGAGAACAGTTGGTGGACAAGCACCAGAAAGTCACATACATGGAAATGGTGCATCAAAAAAATGACGTAAATCCCCTTGATTGCAGTAGTTAGTTCACCGGTATGTGTATCCCAATCCCCCAAATACAACCCCCTTTTCACCACATTCTTCTGTCAGCAGTAAATTTTCATAAAAGCCACATTACCATATAGAAATGTTTGGGTTGCAGAGTTCTGTGCCACAAGACCCATTGTCATACAAGAATATAGAGTACTGTCTATATACTTTGGTCTTATGGATATTTTTGTCTCACTGTGGAAATAAGTTATGAATATGGTAACAATATAGTACCAATAGAATTAATATGCTTACATAATTTACAATTATGTGAAGTTTGTTTCTTTGCAGTTTTACTTATATCAATTGCTTTATTTTTCAGACCCAAATGGACAACCACAAAAAAAGCTCAAGACTCCAAGCGAGAGTTTCAAGAATTGAATGAAGCACAGGAGAAAAAAATTCAGGGTCTTGAGGAAGAGGTACTTCGACTCACACAGACTATGATCGATCTACAAACTTCTGTGTCAGGAGTGAATGAAAACTTAAAGATAACGGTTCAGGAAGATGTCAGTACGTTTTTAAATGCATGGCTAAACAACTTGGCACCAACTGCTAGTGCCACCGGTGGCAAGACAGAATACTATTTGCCTGGATTTTCTGGGAGTGCTGAGAGAGAGGATGGAACGAAAGATATAGTTTCTGAACTAACAAGTGCCCGAAAAGAATTACAGACAAAGTCTGAGCAAATTGAAGACCTGACCAGAAAGATCAATTTGTATGAGGAACGATTAATTGATCTTGAGAAAATATCCCATGGACCAATAGGAACAGCTTCCAGTGTTAATGTGCATCAGGCAGATCTGGATGACAAACTAGAAGCTCTGAGAAATGAAATGATGGAGGGTATGGACCGAAAAATGGCTGATCTGAAAAATTCCTGTGAATATAGACTAATTAACATTCAACAACAATGTGAAGAGAATGAGAATAGCTGTTCAGGAGTCAAAGAGTTGGTTTTGGAAAAAGATACAGAACTGCGGAATGAAATAAACAGGTTGAAATCTCAAATGGAGACTGCTCCAAATGGTAGTTCAAGTTGTTGTAAGAATGCTGATTTTGATGCCACTCTTAAAGATCTGAATGAAAAAGTTGAAAGAATTGCTGATGCTCATCGAACCCTTAATTTCCGAATAGACAGTGAAGTGCAACGTCTTAATGTCCTGCACCCAGACCAGTCATGGAATGAAAGATTTAATGACCTAGAGTTTAAAGTAAATGTCACAGAAAAAAATGCAGAGGAACACTGCTTTTACATTGAGGAAACACTGAGAGGTTTAATTAATACTAGCATAGAAGATATGAACAGTCTAATTGACCAAAAATTCCAAATCCTAGAGAACAGGCTGGATGAACTTGGTAATAACCATGCTTCTTCTGATTCCAGTCATTCATTTTCTGGTACTGTCCTGGAAGACATTGATGGCTTAAAGGATGCTATAAAAAGGCTTGATACCGAGCTCAAAACAGCACTGTTTGGCAAGAATAGTTACCTAAATAACAAGGAGGCTGATGGTGATAGTTATCAAGTCTTGGTTCAGACCCAGCTGAGCAATTCTGTCTTCTTAAAGTCACTGATTGATACAATGAATGAAAAATTTGAACATCTCCAGAACAAGACATTGGATCTGGAAGCCTTACAAAGTGAACTGGGCGTGGTTAAATTTGACCTTTACAGAATTGAAGACAATGTTGATTTATTAAATGAAAAATTTAACTCCATGAAAGACCAGTTGAAGAATCTGGACTCCACTGTTAAGAACACTCAGCTTGGTCTTTCTGCAAAGGTAGATAACGTAGCAAAACGTCTTAACAATACCTCAGACACTTTTGTGAATGGCAAATGTTGTAGTGATCTGCAAGACAAGTTTGAAGTATTAAAGCATGACCTAACTACTGACAAAGGCAAATGTACAGATAATACCCAGGGAATCCGAACAGAAATTGCTAATGTTGATGCCAGAGTTTCTAAGCTGGAAAGTGTGTGTGGAAAGCTGGATACAATTTCTGGTAGCCTGCAACGAATTAAAGATGGGCTTAACAAACATGTTACCAGTTTATGGAACTGTATAAACAACATCAATGGGACAATAAAGTCACATTCCAAGGACATTTATGGCCTTAAGAATTCAGTCCAGGTGTTCCAAACTCAGATCACCAGTATTGCTACTGATCTTCAGGATCTTATTAAGCACCAGCCTGGGGAAGGTAATGATTAGCATCACAAATTCATGAATGAACACACAATTTGTAAATATTGGCTTATAGTAATTGTCATTTTGCCAGATTTGGGTCTAATTTATAACTTACTCACCAAAGAACTATTTTTGGAAAAGAAATGTTAGTTCTACCTGTTTGTACAAACATCTGCAAATTTCAGTATAAGACAGGTTTGGCAAAACAAACCTTAAACTCGCTGATCCTTTTTTATTTACTGTGTGAAGAAAGATACATCTAATTGTATGTGTTCTCCTTCAGACCATTGTTTAAATTGAATGATTATTAAGCCTATCCTCTGCTATTGACATTTTGTTCAGTTCAAATAGAATATGTTAACTACTAAAGCAGGGAGGGCAGTTATAGGACCAAAATCTTAGTATTGGACCCAGTGAGGTGAGCAATACAACTGTGCATTCATTAAAAATTTGTGAGCTGCATTTTGAAGGGTCAAATCACAATAAAACAAAAACAACTACTGGACAGACAACTAGACTTTAGAATAACATTTCACTGATGGGTAGTTTTTTATTTATTTATTATTTTATTGTTCACTCTTTTTTTCAAAGCCTTTTCAGTGATGCAACTCCAATGGAATTTTTTTCTGAACCGATCAGCTTGCAGGAAGATGGAAGTATTTTTTAATTTCCACCCAATATTTTTTTTTAATAATATTGTATAAATAAAAGGCTGCGCTCACCCTATACACCTCTTAAATAATTATAGTGCAAATCACAATAACAACAAAATCATCACCGTGCAGTCAGTCAAAAATATATGGCCTTTAAAGTGTCCTTATAAATCCAAAAGTACCAGTGCAAAGAAAAGTGCCCCAATAAAGTGGAAACATATGTGCCATGATTCTTCTTAGGGATAAAGTGATTTGTGCTCTGTGCAAATATATTCCACTTGCCCCCAGTCACCTGTGTCCCCTAAAGCCCGCTGTTAGCTGAGGTCATTGATCTCTGGAAAGATTTTGACTTTAAAGCAAGCCACTGAGAGCCTGAGCCAGCTTTTGGTGCTCCAGTGAGCCCTAGAAAGGCAGAGCAGAGAGCCAGTGACTGACAGTCCCTGGCTCTCTGCTCACTGAAAACCGGTCAGCAGTCTTTGATTGTCAGTTCTTGTTGTAGAGGCAGCCGGGGACAGATGCAGCATTGGATAGAGTCTGCATCCACCTAGGTGATTTTAAATGTTTTTCTTGTAATCACAAACTTCTCTCTTACATCCAAAATTTTCAGTTACTACTAAAACAAGAACAGAGAGAAAATTTCCAATGGGGCATTTCTTCCCATGACAACTGTATAACAGGATTTCCCTCATGTTGGAAAGAGATTCTCTCACTTGTTGATTTTTAAAGGTTAAAAAGTGAAGGGAGAGCTCCCTAATGAGGCACAGATGGCAAAAAAACTGACATTGGTCACTCTTTCCAAACTGGAAAAACAAATTTAGATTTGCTTTAATGTATGGTAAAATAACAGCATTTCTGTCCTTCCCCTAAGGTGAAGAGGCAACACAAACTACACATGTTATACCTTCACTCTCTGAACAACCTAAAGAACCACAACGACCTCAGAAACCAACTGACACAGAACCAAAGCCACCATCATCCAAACCAGAGCCACCAAGCCCAACTGGCTCTATTGTGATACCTCTGGTTCCTGGACGAAATGGCATAATTATGGAACACGGTCAAGCTGGCCCTCCAGGAAGAATCATCCAGTCTGGATCAGGAAGACCACAAGGTGCCGATGGACAGAAAGAAATGGAGATGTCTAAAGGCTTTGCTGGAGCACCCGGTAAATTTAGTGTAAAATACAGTCTGTATGTTGTTAGTGTAAACACCTAGCACTGGTAAACATTTAAAACAGATGTAGCAGTGCATGAAATTGTGATAGCTTTATTGTCCTACTGTAGTAACAAATTCCAATTAAAGGGGATCAGTGGCCACTTCTGCTGAAGTCTAAACTTTGTGATGCAGAGCAAAGCCTATCAAACACTTTATTGCGTAAGCCATTTGACTAATTACAAATATTGAGTGATAAAGGGTGATGCCAGGACTACATGCCCTCAATTTCTTTTTTGCACTATGAATCTCTAGTGTGTGTTTATAAGTGTTAAGCCTAGTACACACAATCAGAAAATCGTACAGAAAATACCGCTTTTGAAGTGATCGTACAATAGTCTGATCATTAGTACCCAGCTTTCATCTGAAATTATTTTAAAGGGACAAGCACAAAAATGTTTTGTGTACAATGCCAGATTGTAAAATTTTTGATTAATTAGTACAGTTTTTGTCCCAAAATGCAATACAATACATTACATCACTTTCAATTTTTTTTTTCTGTCGTACAAGAAATACCATAACTTTAGTAACCTCTTGACTTTTGATATGAGACTAACATGCAAAAAGAAACGGACAATCATTTGTCCAATATTCTCATTGTGTGTACGGGGCTTTAGTCACAGAATATGAACTAAGTTACCTTTCACTCATTGTACAAATGGGTATTATGACAAAAGTAAATACTGAGCACACTAAGCCATAATGTAAAAAAATGGTGGACAGGTGCACTGTTACCTAAAGCACCATTTATGAACAGTCTTGCAGAAAACACACACTGATGGCCACTGCACCATGAATCACTGTGTTTGAGTGTTATTGGACAGCTCAGATCAGACACCGCGTACAGTGGTTTTGTGCCTTGCGATAACAATAAAATTGAAGCCATGAACAGTGGAAATGTGTAAAAGTTACAAACATTCTGCCCATTTATAATGGCAGTAGGGTAAGAAGGGGAGTACTTAAAGTTTGTAAACACAGCAGGAAAGTGGATTAGAGCAGATTGAAAGCTGAAGGGGGAAGGGGGGATTAAAGCGCCATTGACCACCAATGATTGTAGGATTGTTTTTTTAAAGAATGGGTGTTTTAAAGTGCCACTGACCACCAGTTATGTTTTTTTAAAGATTTGGTTGGGATGGTAGCCACTTGCCTACTGGGCACTTTTACCCCCTTCCTGCCCAGGGCAATTTTCAGCTTTCAGCTCTGTGACACTTTGAATGACAATTGCATGGTCATGCAACACTATACCTAAACAAAATTTTTTATCATTTGTTTTTAGACAGACAGGGCTTTCTTTTGGTGGTATGCAATCACCTCCAGGTTTTTTATTTTTTGCTAAACAAACTAAAAAAATGTTTTCTTAGTTTGTTATAAAATTTTGTAAATAAGTAATTTTTCTCCTTTACTGATGTGCGCTAATGAGGCTGCAGTGATGGGCACTGATGGGTGGCACTGAAGAGGAGGCACTGGTGGGCATTGGCAGGCATCACTGATGGGCATTGACAGGCATTAGTGATGGGCACTGAAAGGCAGCACTCATAAATGGCACTGATAGGCGGCACTTATTGGAACTATTAGGCAGCACTGACGGGCACTGATAGGCGGCACTGACTGGCACTGATAGGCGGCATTGATGTGCACTGATATGTGGCATTGATGGGCACTGGTATGTGGCATTGATGGGCACTGACTGGTGGCATGGATGGTGGCTACACTGATAATCAGGTACTGAAGATCAGTGCCCTGATGATCAGTGTATATGTCCCCTCTGAGGAATGCCGCTTACTGGCTCTCCTCTCATGCTCTGTCAGCATGAGGAGAGGAGTACCGATAACCTGCATTTCCAATTTACATGCGATCAGCTGTGAGTGAACACAGCTGATCACATGATAGAGCCTATGTTATTGACTCTTTACTGCAATCGGTGATCCGCTGTGTCACAGGGACACACCGCACCACAGATCGCAGCGTGCCCCCGGAGGCATGCATGCACAGCTAGGGTGGGGGGTCATTGTATGACGTCCTCCCAGAATGAGAGAATCGCTGCCTGTCTGTCATTTACTTATATGGCAGGCAGGAGGCGGTTAAAGGGCCACCAATGATTATAGGATCATTGTTTTAAAAGGGTTAGTTCTTCTTTACAAAATAACTGCCAAGGCAGTTAAGGGGGGTTTGTAGATACAAAACCAACTGTGCAGCGCTGACTGAAGTTAAATAATGCACTTGCTAGTGGTGTAGGCCAGGGGTGGGTAACTCCAGCCCTCAAACTGTTGTTGAACAACATGTCCCATGAGGAATTGCAAGACTGACCGTTAAATGCATGACTCCCAGAATCAGAGGTACGATGGGACTTGTACAACAGTTGGAGTGCCACATTTGCCCACCTCTGGTGTAGGCCATTTACATACCTCCCAAAGCCTGGCTGGAATATTCCCAGGACGTTGCTACAACAAGTTTGGCTCTAGTTGTTACTGCTCACTTCCACCAACACAGGAATTAGCTTTTTCTCTAGTTTAAACCCCCTAACGTGCTTTTTCTCCCCTGATGAAGTAGCTCTGAGTTTGTGACCTCACTGCTGTGATGGGGAGGTGAACAGTAATGACTAGGCTTCACTTAGCCATGTTCTGTGGGTATTCCAGGCAGGCTTCAGGAGGTATACAGATGGCCTACACCTTTCGCAAGGATAATATTTAACTTTTATCTACAGAAGCCCCTTATCTGCATAGGCAGTTTTTTTTGGTAAAGGTGAACTAACCCTTAAAAAACAAATAAATGAAAAATATAAGAAATCCCAGACCTTTGTCTTTTTACTTTTATATATTAAAAGAAAACAGTGGTTATCAACAGAAAGCTCTGTCTGCCTCAAATGATAAAAATTTATGTGGGCGCAGTGTTGCATGACCAAGTAATTGTCAGTCAAACGATCACTGCAGCTGAAAAATGGCTTAGAAATTAAGGGGTATATACAGACTAGTAGTCAATTGTCTAAATGCGTGCATGTGAATGTGCGGTCTGCTCTTGTCAAGTTTGTTGCTACCTTTAATTTCAGACAGGATTATGGTAGCTTCTAACATTGGTTCCATTCTGTTGACTAAGTACTGATCATTAAATTCTTTATTTTACTTATTCCTCTAAAGAAGAAAAGAGAAAATTTAACATCATCGTTGTCCTGAATCAATCAGTTCTTCTCAAGCAGATCAGCCCCAACATAAAAAGTCCCAAATTATCATGGGGTAATATAAGAAACTTCATAGCAAATCATAAAAGCCCTTTCTTGTCATGGAATAGAGCTATGTGTGAGTTATCAGAACCAAATGTTGTGAACCTGTTTATCTACACATGAAGTTAGGGAACATTGAGAGAGGCACATGTTTCTAAGTCCTGACATGGTTTATTGAGCAGCCTCTAAATGACTGTATTCATCCAAATAGCACAACAAATTTGAGCTTGAGAAAATGATGGATCACTAAAACTAAAGTTATAATACAATATACTATAACCCCATTGTTAGAGACAGATTAAAGTCATAGTTCAGATTCTGTTCAGTGCATGCTGCATACTAAGGCTTTTGTCCATGGTACATAACGACTATCCTTTTTTTTTTTTTCCTTCTTTTTTTTTAAATTCATGATCTGGTACAATTGCTAGTAGTTTAATTGTAAGAAATGTCTTTGTTTTACAGGATATCCCAAGCCGACCAAAGAACCTAAAGGTAATTTCACTCTTTGGGTGAAAAGCTCTAGAGATTATTATACTATATTAGTTTTATATTTAAATTGTCAGTTACCAATGTTAAGCAGGCTGTACATGGGAAGCAATTTTTAGATAATATTAATATGTTCCAGACAAACTCACTGTAAAAGGCAAGCATATAGTTGGGGCACCAATATCCGACGCAAACTCTATACAGAAATCAACAGGGATTATATGATGCCTCATAGGCAATAATGGACAGAGCACCAGCATGTACAGATTGGCTGATTTAAGGTGTTACTAAACCCTGGACTGCATTCATTATATCTGGTCTCCCACAGTACATACTACATGGAAATGCAATTATTTTAGTAAATATAACTGCTAAAGACCTTTTCTCATCAGCAGTTAGAGCAGTCTTGTGACTTCTATCAATGCACAGCCGAGCACTGGCTAAAGCTTGTAGGAGGAGTTTTCTTTCTGCTCTAGGAGAATGCAGAAACCCTGACCTCTGTCTGGACAGTGCTGATTGACCCTGTGCTGATCACATGCACTCTCCCAAGAAAAAAAAAAAACCTCTCTAGCAATACACACCAAACTGAGCATGTACAGAGTGTCTCCACAACATATGTCTTATCAGGAGGCAGGCACTGGAAGAAGGGGAGGATCAGAGAAATCAGGATCAAACAGCATTTTTACACAATGCAGAGGATTAACCCTTTAGGTTCCACAGTGAGTATAACAAGCATGCTTTACTGCATATACAGACTGATTTTACTGTTGTGGGTTTAGTAACACTTTAATGGTGAATTAGGTATCTGACATTCAGACTTTTTTCTGTATATCTTGGGGACACTGTATACAAAGTATTTCCCAATATTCTCTTTAAAAGAACACTACTTGGAATAGTCAGTTGACTAAATTATAACACTTTAATGGTGAATTGGGTATCTGACATTCAGACCTTTTTCTTATATCTTGGGGACACTGTATACAAAGTATTTCCCAATATTCTCTTTAAAAGTATACTACTAGGAATAGTCAGTGGACTAAATTATAACAGCTTAATTTTCCTCCATAACCTCTTACAGCAGGGATGTGAAAGTGGTCAGTGGAAAACTAGTTTTTTAAATCATGTCAAAGAATATAGATACTGTATGTAATCTGCAATACATGCACACGTCCTCATGTTTTATTTCTATAACCAGAAACAATTTCTGTTGATGTGCCAGAAATAGTGTTCTCCTGCCTTCCTCTTTCTCATGATAACACCATTTTTTCAGTTCTGAATTCCTCTTCTCCTCTCCCTACCGCCATCTTTATCTTCATAACCCCTGCTTTGCACGCAGACATGACAGCACAGTAAACAACAAGTAATAAATTAATATTTACTATTTGTAGTAAATTAACAAGTATTTTTTGCACTTATAAACAGAACAAACCATGTTCAATGGTATATTTACCAGACCACAAGGGAGCAAATAATATCTTCATTGCGAGAATTACATGAGGGGTTCTTCTAGCAAAATTATACGTTTATATTTGCACAATGTACACAGTTGAATAAACAAATGACCAAGCATAGCATTAGATGGCTTTTAAAAGTAACTGAAAAATTGGTTTCCTGTGTATTAAGTAAGTATTAAGTTAATACAGTTCTGTTCCTATCTCATTTTTCAGACTTGCATTAGCCCACCCTCAAATCACAATGCCCAAATCTGACCAATGTTCATATGTCCATATAAGCTACACTCACTGATAGGATGCAACAATGGGGCCATGTTCTTACATATAATAAAAAATGTCCTTGGTATCTTGAATACTTTTTCTTCAAAGTGATATATTATCTCTTTATGCATGTTTATTGTAAGTGTAATATCTATAACAGTGAAATATAAAAAAGAAAAACTTTCTAGTGAAGAAAGTCTTACTTTTAGAAGATAAGCATAGATTAAAGTAACTAGTCTTATTCAATAAAGTGTTCTTAATCTTAGAGTTCTTATTCATCAGTGCTAACTCTTAAGTGCAGTACCCCAGAGCAACCAATCAGAATTCACTCTGCTTAAAGTCCAAATCCAGGGTCCCTCTTGCCCACTTTAACTGATCATTTGGTAAAAAAAAAAAAAAAAATCCTGATTTCACTTACCCTTAAGCCGTGGTCATGTGATCACCGAGTGCCAGGTCTTCCTCCTTGCTTGGGTGCTTCTTCTGGTTGTCCATGTCACTGCCTGTGTGACATGAATAATTCCCATTGACTGGCCAGCAGTCCTCAAATGATCCAGAAGCAGACCAGCCAATGAGGGTTACCATGTAGGGGGTGGGAGGGGAAGATGGCGAAAATAGGTTTTGCCGAAATTTTGGCTTTAAATCAGGTAAGTAAATGGTGGATTCGGATTGGATGCTATGGGTTACATCACTTATTCATAAGCAGTTGTAAATTAGACTGCTTGTTCCAGCCTAGCCAATATTTTCAACATGTTTAATTTTCAAAGATTTGCCAGTCTAAATCAGAGAAATGTATTCCAAGCACTTGGTTTGCTCTGCATCAACCATGTTGTTCAAATCCGTTTTGATGCAGTAGATAATAAAAAACAAAATGTTTTTATTATAGTTATAGTCTACAGAAATTCATATTGTTGTTTTACATTGCTATATGATACAGTTGCAAGAAAAAGTATGTGAACCCCTTGGGATTCCGTGGAGTTTTGCATGAATTGGGCATAAAATGTGCTCTGAATGTCATCTAAGTCACAACAATAGAAGAACACAGTCTGCTGAACATAATACTACACAAACATTAGATGTTGCCATGGTTTCATTACACATAACATGTAAACATTCACAGTGCAGGGAGGAAAAAGTATGTGAACCTTTGGACTTAATAACTGGTTGACCCTCCTTTGGCAGCAATAACCTCAACCAAACGTTTCCTGTAGTTGCAGATCAGACCTGCACAACGATCTGGAGTCATTTTGGACGACTCCTCTTCACAAAACTGTTTCAGTGTAGCAATATTCTTGGGATGTCTGGTGTGAATCGCTCTCTTAAGGTCATGCCATAGCATTTCAATGGGGTTGAGGTCAGGACTCTGACTGGGCCACTCCAGAAGGCGTATTCTGTGCTGTTGCAGCCATTGTTTTGTTGAATGACTTGTATGCTTTGGGTCATTGTCCTGTTGCATCACCCATCCTCTGCGGAGCTTCAGTTGGTGGACAGATGGTCGTACGTTTTCCTGCAAAATGTCTTGATAAACTCTGGAATTCATTTTCCCATCAATGACAACAATCCGTCCAGGCCCTGAGGCAGCAAAGCAGCCCCAAACCATGATGCTCCCTCCGCCATGTTTCACAGTGGGGATGAGGTTTTGATGTTGGTGTGCTGGGCCTTTTTTTTCTCCACACATAGTGTTGTGTATTCTTCCCAAACAACTCAATCTTGGTTTCATCTGTCCACAGTATATTCTGCCAGTAGTGCTGTGGAACATCCAGGTGCTCTTTAGCAAACTTCAAACGAGCTGCAATCTTCTTTTTGGGCAGCAATGGCTTCCTCCGTGGTGTCCTCCCATGTACTCCATTCTTGTTTAATGTTTTCCTTATTGTAGATGTGTCAACAAAAATGTTAGCATGTGCCAGAGATTTCTGTAGGTCTTTAGCTGACACTCTGGGATTCTTCTTTACCTCATGCAGCATTCTGCGCTGTGCTCTTGCAGTCATTTTTACAGGACGACCACACCTAGGGAGAATAGCAACAGTGCTAAACTTTCTCCATTTGTAGACAGTCTGTCTTACCGTGGACACAGGAACATCAAGGCTCAAGGAGATACTTTTGTAACCCTTTCCAGCTTCATGCAAGTCAACAATTCTTGATGGTAGGTCTTCTGAGAGCTCTTTTCTGCGAGGCATGGTTCACATCAGACAGTGCTTCTTAAAACCAGTAAACCCAAAACAGGTGTGTGTTTTTTAAGGGCAGGACAGCTGTCAGCAACACATCCAATATCATCACACTGATTGGAGTCAAGGTTGGCTCACTCCTGGCTCCAATTAGCTCTGGGAGAAGTCATTAAGCTAGGGCCTCACATACTTTTTCCTCCCTGCACTGTGAATGTTTCCATGTTATGTGCAATTAAACCATGGCAACATCTAATGTTTGTGTAGTATTATGTTCAGCAGACTGTGTTCTTCTCTTGTTGTGACTTAGATGACGTTCAGAGCACATTTTATGCCCAATTCATGCAAAACTCCACGTAATCCCAAGGGTTCACATACTTTTTCTTGCAACTGTATATGTATTTTGACTATGTAATAAAGTATCAGTGCTCTGTAAATCATTAGGATGTGAGTGTATATGTGAATTGGATCTGTTGTTTGGAAAAATCCATTACTAAAAAAGACAAGGATGTAACTTACTTTACATCTTTAGTATAAAGGTTATTTTATGGGGGCCCAGGCCAATAAATCTCATTGGAGTTAAACTACAAATTAGCTACAAATAAAATGATAAAACAGCCAATTACTAAAATTAATACAAATATTGGACAACTTTTCATAATTCCAAATAAAATAAAATATAATGGCGTTTCTATTTATTTTGCAGGTCCTCCAACAGTAGACGTCTTTCCAGAATCTATAGGTAATTATATACATATATTTTATTTAAATAATTTTCTTGCCAATGTTCAGCAAACACACCTTCTAGGAATCAGCAAGAGAAATTCAGAGTCGTATGGATGGGTTGTTGGCAATACTGCTCTGCAGAGATCCCAGATGATTAAATATATCCCTTCATACCTCCTGATACTCTTTGCCCGTTATGACTCAGATTGGCATTATGTTTAACCCCAACTTTCTGTGATTTTTATTGCCCGAGTGTTAGTAAGTGTGAATGCTTACATTCCCCGCCCCCCCCTTTTTTTTTTTTTTCTTTTCTTCCCTCTTATACAGTTTTAAAATATATATACAGTTTTAAAGTATATATCAGGTGGTGGGACTCTCCTGACAGTGTATGGGTTGTCCCTTGCTTAGCTACTGTTTGCCTTGATGCATACGTTTGCGATAATTTGTTTCTTTTGTTTTACATACATATGTATGACTCCTGCTGTACATTGTGTGTGTCTTGAATATGACTGATGCTGTATTTCAAACACCTTTTATTAATTGTACTGTTTGGAAGCCTTAATAAAACTTGACCATACAAAAAAAAAAAGACACCTTCCTTCTACACATGAAGGAAATATAATGGTATGCAAGTCAAAGCTTACCTCTTAGGGACCTTAGCAAATATCCTTTTTTTCCAAGAATGTAAATAATAAAGGAGCAATAAAACTTGGCTCCTTTAGTATACTGACGCAAGTCAATAAAGCTTGCAAATATAACCTTTAACCTTTGCCCCTTCCACTTGATGTTAATTAAGCAATTTTAAGAATGCTGTGAAGTTCTGTAAAACCATGCCTGGCATTACTCTAGATTTCCCTCAGCTTTTCCTGCTAGACCTACATGTGTCCAAAGGGATACCAAAAACTCCCCTGTTCAGACAGTGATTGAACGGTTACCTGTTTATCACTTCTCCCCCCACTAATCAGGATTTCCTCGTGGTGAATTGTTAAGCTCTATATGACAATTTTGCTAATCAAGATTGGGATATAGAAATTATTATTTCGGGGCTGCAAGCTGCTATTGCTTATCGAATCATAAGAATATATAGTTACATAGTTAGTCTGGCTGAAAATATTATTATTATTATACAGTATTTATAAAGCCCCAATAATTCACTCAGCGCTGTACATTACAAAGGGGGACAGAACATGTGACAGAACAATACCAATACAATGCAAAACATGAGGGGATCGAGGGCCCTGCTCTTTCGAGCTTACAATCTAGAAGATAGAAAAAGAACAAAAGTCCATCTAGTTCAACAAAAGAAAAAAAGTTATAATCCTATACCCACAATTGATCCAGAGGAAGGCAAAAAAAAACCCAGCAAATCATGATACAATTTGCTCCTGCAGTGGAAAAAATTCCTTCCTGATCCCCAGAGAAGCATATATATATTAATTTTATTTTAATACAATGATGCCATTATTCCTTAGGGCCTGTTCTATTAGGTAATTTAGTCAGTGAACAGCAGGGATCTATTGAATGTCAATTAATTACATTCAAATGTCAAGCATCTCATTTTGGCATTATATAAAGAATGTACATAAAAAATTACAGTTGTGAGAATTAGTTTGTGATCTTTGTTCTATACTGTGATCTTTGTTCTAAACTTTGCGTGTTTTATTTCTCCTAGGAGTTACTGCTATAGCAGCTCTAATATCGTTTTCTGCTGGACTAACTAGACACTCCTTTGATATTGGAATTGTTCCCTTTAACCATGTGTTGTGGTTAATGATGGAGATCATTATAACCCTACTACAGGTAACATGCCTTAACATGTGTTCCTATTTCTAGCATATTTATATTGTATAGAGGATACAAAGTTTTTACTAAATGATTGAGTCATTTTCATTTTATTATATGGTACAATTAAAGGGAATGTGTACACCATTTTTTTCAAAGATGTGTTTGTGAAATATATCAGCAAGAAGTGTTTTTTTTTAAATATTAATGCTTTAAAATGTAAATTTCAGTAAAAAGAACTATGCCTTCCCTTTAAATAAGAACAGCGAAAATAACTGTATGTAAACCTAAGGAAGAAAGTCAGTTGACCAGAAAATGCTTTAAACAATCTGTTCATATTCTGTGTGCAGTTATAATACAAGTACTTTTTGCTTTCCTTTTTACGATCTGGGCTCTTGAACATGAGCCCTTGGCACCAATTGATGGGATTCCTAAAATTAAGTCAATCCAAAAATCTGGATCAGCTGGATAACTTTTATCACATTTTTAAAATTGGGTAGATCTGAAAATAAGTAACAGGTGTCAATATGATGTTTTCTTGGTTATAATTGTTTATATGTTTTAAGGTGCATCTATATTATCATTATTATTATATAGCGCCAACATTTTTTGCAGCACTTTACAAAATGAAGATAGAGATTACAGTAACAATACAATTTGGTACAAGAGGAAACAGAGGGCCCTGCTCCTTAGAGCTTACAATCTAGAAGATCTATAGCCAAAAGTCTTTTTTTATTTTTAGGCTTGGATTGAATGGGGGCAGGGATAGAACATCTGTCAGATTTACTGCTATCAGAGGCTTCATTTGTTTTCTGGGGAAACCCTTTTGCCAGAGAGGATAAAAAAATGTCTTCTGTGTGTTCTGCTGTTGCAAACTTTGTTTACTTCCTGCATGCCAAAAGGTTGTCTCCGGGACAGTGAGTAAGGGGAAGTCTCTCTAATTGAGCCCCAGACAGCAGTGAAAACTGATATGGGTTCTAATTCTTCCCTACACTATCCAAAACTAAAAACCTTTGGTCATATATACCCTTTAAATTTTACATTTGTTTACTATATTTTAGGTTGCACAAATATGGTTGAACTGTTATTTTATTTAGTTGCTTTTTGTTTCCTAGAAAGCTATATAGTTTCCAGGTGAAACCTATGAAATGGTAAAGTTATTTCTTATTGTGGTATATTTTATTGACTCTAAGGCTCGTTAATCATGACAAGTTTTTTCACTTACATAGTTCAACATCAATCCTAACTAGTCTTAGAGTTCTAGTAGCCAGAGAACACATGTAGCCTTTAATGTCACATTTATGGAACACATTATGGTTTCTGCCACATGTCTTTAATGATAACAACGTGCAGCCATGTGAGTGGTTAGGGGCTGCAGATAATCCTAACCATAAATCACCCTTTGGCTGCATTTTTTTTGGGTCGGCATGCATTCATGTGTGTTTAGAGGTGACATGTATTATATGGTCTGTGTACAAATGAAAGTGTTTAATAGCAGACGCATTTTAACTGGAAAATCTTGCATGCACATCCTGCAGTGTGAAGAGAATGTAAAATCTCTTATGGATCACAGAGGTTGTAACTTCACTAGCAGAACATATAACCAACCCTTGCCTGTGGTTTTAAGTGTTACCATGGGGGCCTATCAGTGGGAGTATTTTCCTATACAGTCCATGAGACACTAAAAGAAGTTTCTTTTTAAAAAGTATAAGTCATTCTTACCTCATCTGGTGGTGGTGGGAGTTTACCATGCTGGAACACTTAAGACGGTTGAGCATGAGTCAATGATTATGCCACTGCATTCCATCTGACTCTGCCGATATACAGTATGTATTACTTGTCCCTTTTATTCATTAGAATACTGAATAAATGTGAATGACTCTTCTGTGGGGGACTAAACAGCACTGACAGTTGGAGGCTGAAAAATAACACATGTTCTTATTTATTAAATAAAGTGCAATGTGCAATTATGATGTCCAGAGGCCTTTATCTCTTAGATTGTAAGCTCCAAAGAGCAGGGCCCTCCTAACCCTCTTGTATTGAACTGTACTTTTGCTGTATTGTCTCCTGTTATATTATAAAGCGCTGAGCAAACTGTTGGCACTATATAAATCCTGTATAATAATAATAATCCCATAGCAACAAATTTTGAAATAATCTCTTAAACTAGATTTGTACTGTCTATAAATGTATTAAGGTATCCTTTTAGCCTGGTAGCATCCAAAGTGATAGCTCTATGACTTGGCAATAGTGCCATGTTATGGGAGGCAGGTGAGGGTGTCACCTGCTCCTCGCACCCCAAGGAATTTTTTTCCTTTCTCAAGGTAGAAGCACTTGGTTGGGGCAGCAGATGAGCATGGTTAAGGTAGACCTAGGCACCTAGGAGACTGGCTTCCAAGTGTCAGGGTATTGTAAACTTTAATAAATGGAGTACAGGTTTGCTTTAGCTGATACTGTAAATAACTACACTTTACATTACATCACACAGTTTTTTTATCGTGCCACTTTATTTAATAGACTTAACATATTGGGCAGTTTACTAATATTGCAGGATTCTGAAACCTTTAGGAAATTAGATTATTTTTTGAGACACTGACCTAGAAAATGTAGGCAGATCAGGAGTTCTGACATTACTCTGGCTTTCTAAACTTGGTGTATATTCTTAGACACTGACAGTGTATGAAAAGTCATGGACAGCCAGGCAACTGGTATTCTTGGAAGAAGGTCAGCAATAGCAGCCTTCATATTTTTCTCTACAGGTTTACTTTAAAGTGAATCTGTGGCCAGACTATGGACATTCAACTATTTACATATTCTTAACAGTAAGCAGTAATTTCACTTCCAAAACATGTTCTCCTTGACAGCTGCAGGCTGTATGGATAAATTAATCCTCAAATGTTCTCGCCAGAAACATTCAAGTCTTTCTCTCAGCAGCTCAGCTTCTCTTGCTCCTCTTCCCAGCAGTGACTCTGCAACCTTCTAATCTCTATTGTAAACACACATCAGGTGCTTTGGGGGAAGGGGAGCTGCTGAGAGAGTGTGTTCAGTGATGCTACTGTGAACTTTGAGACTGAATTGTTTTACAGTGCCTGCAGTTACAGAGTTCAAGAAGGGCTTGTTCTAAGGCTCCATGCACACTGGGCGTTTTAATAACGCTGGTAACGTAGCTGTGTAAAGTCACAATAAAACGTGAGTTTTTCAGCCTTTTGCCACATTTTTTCACATTTGCGTTTTTTTAAAAAAACTCCTCTAGAACCCCATAGTTCGGGGGGGGGGGGGGGGGGGTGGGTTTCAGCCAAAAAACGCTAATTACAGTCTATATGTGCATAGGATAACATGTTGGGGAGTTTACTGCCTGTAGAAAAAAAAACGTCAAAAGCAAAAAACAGCAGCTGTAAAAAAGACCAGTGTGCATGAGGACTAAAACTCATTTAGGTTCAAAATAGTTGAATGTCTTTAGTCTGGAGACTTTTCTAGGTGCACCAATCAGGTGTATTTTATGTTCATTAGAAATTGTTATAGATTGAATTCTCTGTGTCTAGGTCAGAAACCGTGAGTAGTAATGGTCATTAGTTCCTTTTTGAAGGGAACATTATATTTGAAAAAATATATTAGTGTGAAAAAAACCTCACTAATCTATGTGTATTTTTTGTTTTGATAGTTTTTGTTTCTATTTGTTTTGCAGCCAGGTGCTAGTAACTTGGTTGTTTGTTGTTCAGAGATGTTGGCGGACTATTGTACATTTCACCACTACTGCCTCCCAGAAGCAGTAGCAAGATGATAATGCTAATGTTTTTATTTGTTTAGTAGATAAGGGTCTTTTAGTTTAAGCAGTAAAAAATATTAGGAGTTGGGTCATATCCACATATTCCTCTTGTAGGTAACATTGATCCTGCTGTTTGTGAACTGTAGTTAGGAGAACCTGAAATGATCAGAGGAAAAAAAAAATCAGAAACTGTAGACTTATTAGCATTAGAGCCAGTTCACACCACATGCAGTCCAGTGCATTTTTTTCTGCATCAAAAATGCATTGATTGTAGGCTACATGGTTTCCAATTCCATAGTTCACACCAGTGCGGTCAATTCCACTGCGTTCTGGGTTCAGAAAAAAAGTAGAACATGCTGCATTTTTTCTGCACTGAATTATACTGGAATGCAGTAAAACGCATCAAAAATGCACCTAAACGCACTGGAATGCTCATGTCCTTATTTAAATTGAAGAAAAAGAAAGGGGTAGAAAAAATGACCTGAAACGCACCAAACATACTGGAATGCGCCAAAAACACACATTCAGAAACTCATGCAGGCTGTATTTTTATGGTGTGAACTGGCCCTTAGACAGGACATATGGCAAGCTGCATGTGCAAGGTGTTGGATCATATTGCAACTAGTTAAAAAGAAATCCTGTAAAGTATTCGACTGGGCAAAATAAAAAAACATATACAACATTCAGTTGATTGAAATCCAGTGAGCTCCTTCCTAACCATTTGTGCAATATGCATCTGCTACTCTGAAATCACAAACAGTGTTATCAACTCTGTCTTGTTCTACAGAACACCCCCTCTTTTGTTATGAGGATAAGGAGAGGGGAAGGTGTTTTTTAGTCTAATAGAAAAGGAACACTTCCACGGGGGAAATTCCTTTCAGTGACAACTGTCACGATCGTGGCGTCAGACCCCAGCCCTTCTCACCAAACTCGTGACTGAAGGACTAGCCGATCTAAAACCGCGCTGTCACGTGCGTAACAATCCCATACCCAGCTGCACCCTGCACAATGATTTTCCAGCTAGTTGGACCACAATCGATGTACCGGCAGCCTGAGTGATTGTTACTGGGTCAGGTTAATTACGCAATTAACCCTTCACAGTGCCACCACCTCATTTTTGTACAGGGAAAGAGGAAACTCGGTGATATCAGCTAAAACACTATAATGGTTGAGATAATCGTCTGCATGATACGGTCACCGCAGGCCGATTATGCAGAGGGTTAAACAAACACAGTAGTGTTCTCTTTAGAGGCAGGAATTCGTA